GTAGCGGCGCTACATTTCACTGTAGCGGTAGCGGTAGCGCTCGCTACAATCTAGTGGGTGTAGCGGTAGCGGTAGCGCCCGCTACATTTAGAGCATGTAGCGGTAGCGGTAGCGGCCGCTACGTTTCAAAGTAGCACTGCCCAGCTCTGATATTATGGTAACTCAATATCAAACAGGTAATTATTATAGTTACCAATCCATTATCGTACCCTTTATACATTTTGTTTTTATTAAGGAACGACAATATTAACTTCTTAGTAAGAGAAGCAAGTCGAGCTCTCTTTAGTTTGATCTATCTTTATAAACAGCCAATACTGCAGGATCTACTGCCGACATCTATTTCGAGACCACGGATCAAGATGGATGAAAGATCGGGCTAAGAGAGATGAGGCGTAATGTCTTAGTTTGTATTGAAAATTCATGCATTTGAACAACAGTATTGTTTGTTCCTTTTACCAAGGTTTAGAATGTAGATGGTATTTCAAATTTTATAGAAGCATCTTAACAAACCTAGATAGTAACTTCGAACGTTAAAAATCTATCGGACTCTTTCATAGCCTATTCATAAACATTTTCGTTAAAATAGTTATAATGTGCACTAAAAACAATGGACGTGCTTGCTCGAGTCATAACTATTGGCCTGAATGTCATGCAATCAATTCCACATTGTAACTAATGTCCATTAACTAGTTTTTACTTAAACAATCCTGCAAACTTACATTCATACATAATCATTGCAATCAAATGCGATAACTGGGCTCCAAGTTTGAGTACTTACGTGCAACCATTATAATCAAAATAGCAGCAGGGCCGCTAAACATGATATTTACTCGATATCGACTCCATTCCGCAGCTCGAAAAAATTCCATCCCAGAAACAACTTTAAAAATATAGGAAAAAATTCCATCCCAGATGCAACCGCGAGGAGCTACGCTCCATACTGCGTCATCGGGATCTGCAATAAAATGCTTACGCCATCCCATATACCAAATTCCATCCCAGATGCAACCGCGAGGAGCTACGCTCCATACTGCGTCATCGGGATCCACAATAAAATGCTCACGCTATTATTAGCCTTCCTCGGGCTGGCGGTTCAGGAGAATCGTTCACCAGGACATTGCGGAAGCCGATGGCGGAAGTGAAGCTGCATGTGTTCATGAGCGCGGCATGACTCAGGCAAACCTGTAACCCTCAGTCAGGCTGCTGAACTTTGCCTCTGACCTTTCGTAAATACTGTCTCATGACAAGAACATATTTTAAGGAAGCGTACGAAGAGAATTTATTTAATCGGAGCATTTTATTTAATTCATTCTAGAAACGATACAGCAAAGTACATAAATGACTACAGTTTCAGTGTCATATTACAAACGGTTGTTCCAATGCCTTATCATCAGATTGTGTGGGGGTAACAGTTATCGACAGGCTGTAATCATCTGCAGCGGTATAGACCTACTCTTGTCTCTGTACCCTATGCTAATTATATCCATATGCCGGTGAAGTATCAGGAAAAGCAAAATAATTGTCCTATAAGTAACAGGTTCTGTACTCTTTAGTGCAAAACATTTTGGAAACACAACTTTGGAGTAAATCCAAAACTTAAGAAGTGCCAGGAAAACTATTGGCTAGATAGAATGAAATCAATAAATTTTATGTGATTCTTAGCCCTCTTATGACATTTGTTGGGTTGAGCTTTATTTATATGCAAGTTCGTTTCATTTAATTTATAAATATAGTAGATATACTTTAATTTATACGTATAAATTAACTAATTCTACTCTGCCTGCTTTAATGAAATGTGACTGAGAATCGTCCTTGGCGTTATTTTTGCTTCCATTTTGCTGGAAGTTCATAAATAATATATTTATCGTAGTTGGTCGACATATTTTATCTATGCTTATTTTCTAATGCTTGTTGGTATCAAAATACAATACAATATTTTCTTTACAACCACAACACAATGATACAATACAATATTTAAAAATATAATATTTTCTTTAGAAAAAACACCTGCCTGTTACTCGCTCGTTCATGACTGTAGCGCATGAGTGGGAGTAAACATTTACATTGCGTCATGTAACTGTTCATTCACAACAATTTCATCATGAGTGGAGTAACAATTTAACAACCAAGAGTTTCCAGACTGTAATTACTGTGAGAAATTGAATTTAAATTGTGGGAATTTTTCTCCATCTACACAGTTAATGTTGGTTGCAAATAATAGATTCGAAATACAAGCCAGCCTTGAAGTCAACCAGTTTAGAAAGCACGCATTTTGGAAAATAATAATCAAATTGATGCATTTGTTGTTTTCTATATTTGAAAACTAGGTACTCTTGATTGTTGATAAACTCATTAAGATGAAATGTAATTTTCAATCAACCGTGGGCATTCGATTGAATCACTCGGCTAACTGAGCGTTGTCCCAGACCTTTTAATTTGGCTGTTTACTTGTGCATCTATTTATTTATTGTGTCCCAAGATCATTTATATAGTACAAAGCCAGTATATTGTAGAATAAAGCACCTATGTACTATATTCTAGGTTATTTATTTTAGGGTACGTATTATTATAAACAAACCCCCATCTTATTCCGGCGTGGGTGGAAATAAAAGTTATTAATTTTTGGAACTATTGGATTGACAACCAAATGCTTTCAAAAATCTGAGTAATAACGCTAAACTTCAAACATTGATTTTATTAGAAGTCCGAAAACACAATGCACAAATTGTACAGTGTTAACTATTTTCGTAGATGGAGTGTAAATTGTCAGAATGGCAATGGACAAATAAGCCACACGTTTTAAATTGATGAGTCGTCAAAACAAACAGCTCAAAGTTTAATGTATAGAGACTGGCGCTATTTTCGATGGAAATCGTCCCCATTATATTAATTAACATTTTTTCACCTTCACTTTAGAACATTCTTCACAGCTTTTAACGCGGACTTTTATGATTATTTTAGTTTAATGTTTACTTCTTTTAATTATTTAGTTGTAGTTATTAGCGCGAAAACATTACATTAGTCATTAGCACAATGAATAAGGCACAATTCTTTCTGGTCACTCGGGAAAATAAAAAAATGACCACAATTATATCCAATTTATGCTGAAATTGATGGGAACGCATAATGAAATTGTCATTGTGCGTTGTTCTGCAGCGTCCGCCGGCGGCCTTGCCCCATACTACGGGGTTAAGGCTACAACAGATCAAGTGAACTCGGTGCCGCGTAACGCTACATGGCGCTCACCTCTTCCAGCGGCCGATGTAATCCATCAGTGTTTGGCTGCACTTCCGTGAGAGCGACAGGTCCGTACGATGCACACAAATGGTTTCCGGTTGATGTACGAGGAAGTTATTTCTGGATTGTAGCGGTCTATTCTTTGTCAGGTAGATTAACAATCGTTATCGGTGAATGGCGTTAGCGAACGGCGTATTGACTAGTATATTGACGTAACGAATTCCCAACAGTGTTTTTGGAACATTACATGAATTTATTAATAAATGAAAGGTATCTAGTTTTAAGTTTTCTTTCCTGTGAGGTTTTAAAGTTTTTCAATTTTTGTCTTCATAATTTTTCTTGCTCTCCTATTTTTGCATGGAAACATTGATCCGTAGCTCGATCCCGTGTAGCGGCACGGTTGTCACGCCGTGACCATATCGATCAATGACATCCTTTTGTTGTCTAGTGTCTTGATGTTGTCGTTCGGCGGATTCACGACTGCACTTTCGTCTCGTCTGAATATATATGTCACGTTCCTCATGGACGTCGAATTTTCAACGGCCGCACTTTTGGATGATTGTGATGTCATCCACATTTGTGACAGCCCGACCGTGCTCGCAACTTAAATTTAATAACATAATCTGACTATCGGCTTTATAATCTCTGCACGTCTGATTGCTCATCGTGTTGATGTTGGTCGTACCCCGGTACTTCGCTTGTAGACTGTTGATGCTCTTATACCTGTGTCATAATTGTTTCGGTGAATCGGAGATTCTCCAATATTTCCATACATTGTAGGACTTGAAATGTCGTTGAGATGTCAGGACTTGAAATGTTACTGTTTATAGTGCCAGGATTGGAGCAGTGAGTTGCGGGTTCGAGCCAAACTTTCTGTGACAATTTAAGTCGGTTAAGCACAGTAGATACAGAAGCAGTGAGCTATTAAGTGATCGGCGTTCAGTATCGGAGACCGGCGTAGTGGCCTAATCTGCGATGCTGACATCGGTAATTATTTTATTATTATATTGTCGACGCTCCTTGTTTAGAACCTTTGTGTTTCTCATATTATTAGGTGTCAGATTGGTTTATCAAATTCATTGACCGGTATACCTTTGATTACGCATAAAAACATTCTTCGATTTGTAAATCAAATCACTTACCAATTTTAAAGGTTAGTGAAATATTTTTCATTATTGTTTGTAGATGAACACTCGATAATATAATTTTTTGTTCTTCATACTACATCATTACACTGTTTGTAGTGTTAATATTAACTAATAACTCACGAATTAAGGCTCCTTTTCATATACAATTTAAATTTTTGTGTTCCGAAAAATATTTTTATGCCAGAAATTCAATAGAAAGTTTGTCCTAGGATACTCGTGCATAACAAATTCGTGCATAACAAATGCAGATGATTAAAAATACAATTAATTCGACAGTGCTTGGTTATCTAAATCGCAAACTGATTTCCTTGCGTACTGTATTTCGATGATTACTGTAAACTCGTATAAGATACAAATTTTCTTGCAATTTTCATGAAAATTTTTCACCAGCAGTTCCAGAAGTTATGGCATGTATGTCAGGTGCTTATTAGTATGTTTTACTGGTATTGACTAATAATACATGTACTTCATGCATTATAAAATTCTTAACCTTTTCGCTGTTATTTTCTAACAATTCTAAAACTATTCATTCATTTATGCACGTTATGCACTCAAATTTTGTTATCCGATATAATTATCTAGTAGTTTTATCGCACGGGTACAAATTCATTCTGGCAACAACTCTTCGGAGACGTGAAGTAAACATCGAGGGAATTGGTGTAAAACCGTTCCAGCTGAGTTGCTGATAATAAAAACTGAAGAATGGCGGTCGCTGCGAAGGCATCTGTTATGACTCTAAGTAAGAATTATTAAAGAAGTTTTCATAACATTTTGCAGAATAATTCAATCTTTCTGTAGCATTCGAGTGAAAAATTATGGTTTTGTTATTCGTGCCTGCTGTCAAATGTCAATAGAAAATACATATTTGATTTATCAATTGTCATCACTGCTGAAAGCAGATGGCCTGTTGATACCGCTACTGAACTGAGTGCTACCGTCAAATTGTTAATGGCGCTGTTGAGTGTTGACGCATAAGTAGCCACCCTGACCCTGTTTAAAGTTTAAACTACTGCACTTGAATAAGTTAGAGTGTTGAACATGATAACAAACCAGAAATTTTTTAGAATCAGTTCAATTTTAATAGAATTAGGTACCAGTATATTTAGAAATCTCATGTTTTATTTGCAAAATAGATTACTTGTTTTGATAGATTTTATTAGACCTGTTAGCTATATAAGTGCATGCCTGCCAAGTATATATACCTAGTAGTCTAGTACTGCAAGTAATGCTGACTACTAGAAGGTTGAACATGAAGCAAGTTCACAATAAAGTAATATGTTGCACTAATAGTAATAGGAGGAGGAGCATTGATTGTGCCTTAGTTATGTTCTGTTGCATCAGACATCATGATAATCTTTTTGTGAAATATAATAATACTCTAGAAATGCACTGCCATGGTAAATTACTAAATTCCTTTAGGGCCTAGAAAAGAATGATGTTCTCTTGACATGGTATTGAATTAATAAAGCCACTATAACTAGTAGTAGTAGCTAGAGGATGTATTACAGTATTAATTAATTATTTGAGATATTTTCCTTCACCCAGGCCCAGTGCGGGAGCAATTGAGGCGATGGGCATTTAAGCTGTCAGGATATAACAGATACGGTGAGTTCTAACAGGAGAATATTTTTCTATATTGAAGTAGTGGTGCTTGTAGTAGTCCATTGCTGTCTTGGGAGTAGGAAAAAANTAGATGTCAAAATGAATTTGCATGCTGGTATGTCAAAAATAATTTATAATTTGTTATGTATTTCTGTGCCCACTTCTATTTCTGGCTTCATATCTCTACTGTCTTGAATTGACAATCAAAGTTCTGAAAAATGTAAACATAATGTTATTTCATTTTTATTGGTAGGTTCATGTTTTAAAACTGTTCTGTATTTGTCCTTAACACATTGATGCTCGACAACGTCTATAGATGTCATGCCAGTTTGGTCCAAATGCACACCCCCATCATGCTTTATTTATAGTCCGAAAAAATAGTCTGCAACCGAGTCATCACTCAACCCTGAACTGTCAGAGTCACTTGAAGAACCTTCTGCTAATAAGGCTGCTATTTGGTCATTAGTAAGTGAAGCTTTACGTTTACTCATGGTATAGGCCAAATAACAATTGCGTGATTTCTCAAAAATATTCTGTGAAAAAAAAATATGAAATTATATATATTAGAAAGTATGCTATATCCATAAAAAGAAATTGGTGGTATCTAATTGCATAAATAATACTTTAGAAGTAACACAACGGTTAAAAGTCACACACCTGATCATTCACACGGCTGTTGCAAGACTGTAACAGGCTGACATCCAATGCCGTATATATATATGTCTTGGAAAGATTATGTAATATGGAAACAGTGGAGGTCCAAAATACTCATATACCTGCTTAAAATTGGTGCAAATGGTGCATCTTTCCCGCAACCCAATGTAAAAACACTCTGCATTGACGTCTCCTTGCGTTCAGGGGTTATTGTGCCGGGTATAGTTATGATGTCTGTGCTAATTGGACCAAACTGGAAAAACTGAGGCGAGCATCAAAGTGTTAAGGTCAATATTGTTTGAAATGTATCAGTTTTTTGTAATGACTATTGTTTGTGAATGTATTGGCAGAAATCTTATTTAGCTAAACACACAGTGCTTGCAGTGAAGTATATATATATTTACTGACATAGCATGGAATGTCAAACCAGTTGCTATACTGTAAAACAGGGTGTCTTGGACCAATGATGGGCTGACTTGACCAATGACGGGGTGACTTGACCAATGACAGGGTGACTTGGCCAATGACGGGGTGACTTGGCCAATGATGGGGTGACTTGGCCAATGACGGGGTGACTTGGCCAATGACGGGGTGACTTGGCCAATGATGGGGTGACTTGGCCAATGACGGGGTGACTTGGCCAATGACGGGGTGACTTGACCAATGATGGGGTGAATTGACCAATGACAAGGTGACTTGACCAATGACGGGGTGACTTGGCCAATGACGGGGTGACTTGACCAATGATAGGGCTGTCTCTTATACACATCTAGATGTGTATAAGAGACAGCTNCTAGTAACCTAAAGCTGTCTCACAGGTCTGTACCTGCCACTAGTGACCTATAGCTGCCCACAGGTCTGTACCTGCACGACCTGTACCAAGAGACGCCTGACGTGTCCGAGGCCATCCGGCGGCTGCCCGCAGAGAAGCAAGATGAGCGGCTGTGGAGGCTGCAGCGCGCCATACAACTCGACCTCACCAAGCGGGTCTTGCCCAAGGAGGAGTGGCACACGTATGAGGAGGTGAGGAGGGGCAGGATGGTGCTCAGTAGTTCGTCTTACTAATGAAATATTTGATGTAATCTAATTTTTATTCCAAGCTTGAAACCCAAAATTTACCCAAGTATCGAGATGTGAGTCGCATTTGATTTAGGTATCGTATTTCTATGGTAAATTCAATAATAGGTCTGAGGAAGATTTGGTTATGATCAGGTATTCATATTTGTTGAACCTATATTAGGTAATTAACTTTGTGTTTTATTTGCGCTAGCTAATAAAACTTTGTTTTTTTTTAATGCTAGCAAAGCATTATTGAGCTGAAACCCATTCACGTTATGCACTATTTGAGTGAATCAAATATATAAAGTAAAACATGTTCACATTGTTCTCGCTCGTCGCTTAATCTAGAGTATTCAGTACATCATGTAGCCTACTGAATGCATTGACCTGAATGGCTGATGACAGGAATAAATTAGTTTTTATTGCATCACAATAAATTTGGTTAGATTACATAACAAGAAAAAGAACGAAATGCAGCAAATTTCACTTCTATTATACCTAGATCTTTTTTTAGTTTCTTTTTAAAGAAACACTATTAAACTAGGTTGGAGTGGCTATTGACGTTTATTTTTTGTGATTAAATTATGCCATAAGAAAGGCCAGATGGACTACATATTTTGCCTCACGCCAAATAACCAGTCGATCCAACGATAGAAATGATGGCAAATGAAAGAAAAAGTCCGCCTTGGCTTCAAATAATTGCTTGTATGGGAGCACGAGATGCCGCTTCCTTTTGATCCAATTCGTGACTAATAGCTCAATTTCATGTATATTTATCCATATCAATCGTTTGTTACAGGAAATAAGCAAGGGTCGCTACCTTACCGAACTGCTGAAGCAGGTCGAGTTTGAGAGGAAGGAGAAAGAAGAATGGGAAAGCAAGTAAAACTCCCGAGAAAGTTATAAAATTGTTCTATTCTAGCTGTTTTCATGGTTGCGTTACGGAGTAATTGGAATATCCCTGCTGTCTCATTCTTTGTCAATTGAATAACTTGCTTCTATTGACGCAGCGTCACAGGTGATATGTAAATATTACATTTAATATAATTCTCAATGATGTTTCATTTCTGCCTGTACGACGTCACAAACTAGACAGTAAGTGAAGGATCTAGTAACCTCGCAAGGTTATCCATTTTCACAGGTTGTTCAAGGAGATTGAAAATAAATGTTCTCCAAAAAATGTAATAACGATTAATGGCACGCACTTATAAATCAAGGCACCCTCTTGGGCCTTATATTACACTTAGCATATCAGTAGACTATTGAAAACTTCAAAAATAAAAAAGTAACGTGTATTGGCACTTCAATTGCATAACTCTTAATCAACATAGGGTTTTTTCAGAATAACTCACTTGACGCTCATGAGCTCCGATCTGCTCAATTTTTTCTGAACGCCATCCATGTATTAACCACTACTAATGAAAGATACGGAGGGGGGCGTGTCTAAGTTTAATACTTGGCCGTGTTACAAATTTCCTTAGTTAACGCGGGATAATGAAAGGTGAAGGATGAAACGTTGTATCCCAGCTTGGACTGGCAGCAATAAGGAAATAGCCTGCCCTGGATGGGAAAAATTGTCAGTATCCAAATAGAATGGAAACATGCGAACAGAATAAAAAGAATAATTACGAATGAAGTGTAGACGAAAGAGATAACAGACAGCTTAGAGTTTAAACCCAAAAAACACCTGCTCCAGCATTGATAAAATACCACACGAAACCAAAAACCCCGCACAAGTTGCCTGAGTGAATCATGAGCAAGGGGGCGAATAAATATCATTCAAAATGGTGAGGCAAAACTCACGTAAACCATCCCTTGCCATTGAATAAATGAAGCAAAACGTAGATTAATGTGCATTATAGAATTAGATTATAATTAATTGTAACTGGTTGCAACAGCTGATCCTTAACCGTAGCATAAACTAATAACCTCACAAATTGAATTGTAAAGTATATAATTATTTTTTATTCAGAGCACCATTCTGGAAGACAACAAATTATCAAGCCTTAAAACAAACAACAAATTATGCAAATTTAAAACTAATTAGACTCAAGTAAGATCCTCTTGACACGAAGCAGTTTACAAGTGTTACTCAAGTGATCACTCGACCAATGACCATGGATAAGTAGGGAGAGGGAGTAATTTGAGTTTTGCAAAAGACAACGCGTTCAGAACTGTTGGATATACAACAATTCAGAGCTGCAGGGGTTGCGCCGCATCTGAGCTCCAGAGCCTGCGTTTCGTCGAGCTGCAGAGGCTGCGTCGCTTCAGAAATTGTGTCGAGTCAGAGCTGCAGATGTTGCGTTGCATTGCATCAGCTGCCGATGTTGCGCCGCGTCAGCTGCAAAGGTTGCGCTGCATCAGATCGAGCTGCATGGGTCGCAAAGCGTCTGAGCTGCAGAGGTTGCGCTGCATCAGAGCTGCATGGGTCGCAAAGCATCAGAGCTGCAGAGGTTGCCCCGCGTTGTCAGGGGCACGCCATGTATGCACGAGGTTGGTGAGCACAGATGACAGCTCGCTGCAGTACGGAGTGTCTCTCACCAGGTTCAGCAGATCATGTTCGTAAAAATTCTTCAGCTCCTTCTGAACATCTTCATGAATATCCTGGAGGCCTTCCACAACAATTTCTTCAATAACGCCGCGCTGGCACTTCACCGTCACAAGCACCCGTGACCTGCATGAAGTCAAATATTCTGGCACTGGAAGCTCCAGGGTTTTGCTGAAGCGTGGATTTTTACCATACAACCAATCCCAAGATAGCAGCTCGGCTCGCAGATCGCCCAGACCTGCAAAAACATTATAATTAAAAATAATAGAAGCAATTTTTTACAATTCAATGAGAAAAAAAATTAAACTAAATATCAGTCGATTCTCTCTTCCAGTAAATCGTAAACTATAATGCCACCAAGACTGATAGAAACAATGATAACGTATTGTTCTCATCCTCACACCAGGTATGCCATATGGAAGCAGTATAACAAGTTTGGACTTGCACGGAGACCTGGATTAAGCAAAACAGTACCGGCCATTAGATGACACCCACAAAGAAACAAAATGGTGCAAATAAACTTGAAACTAGTTGATAACCTTACTACTCAAGCTGTTAGGAGGATCTAAGCATTAAATAGATAATAGGTTAGCAGGTGCATTAAACATTCTTAGAACCTGCAACCTTCCTGTAGCTGGCATCTATTGGTGTAACAATATTCGGCTCCTAACCTAAATTCTACACAACAGAGAATGGAAAGCTTGTTGCAAATGAAAAAAGCTTATGTGGCTGCAAGTTACATTCAAACAGACAAAAGTGGTTTAATAGAAACTGGTAAACATTTTATTAATGTTTACAGTAAATTAACCCTCCTATTTCAATGAATTTTAATGGGCATAATTTCCCATTTTTGACTGATTCAAGAATTAAAACCATTGCTTAAACGTAATTAATTTTGCAACCAATACATCAGAAATAGCACAGCATATATATAATTTCAACCAGTCCCCTCTGGACCTGGGAACCAGTCATCCTGGGGATTGACGAGCGTGACGCCACTGGAAGCTCGTCGTGAGTATTCCTCCTCCCCAGGTAGGGGGGCGTCCAGGAAGCCCCAAGCAAGGCTGTCCATCATTTTTTCCACCGTCAACACGCCTTTCTGCCCACCATCACTGAGGTTGCCTACAGCACATGGCACGCTCGAAGTCGCTGTAGTTTTAATATCCTGTGATGAAAAATTTAATGAAACTGACAAAGTTTTCATATTCAATTGCAAGATTTATTGCTTTACTTACTGGTTAAATGGTCTCCTTTCCTATGAATATGTATGGAAGTTAAAGCACCCTTGAACTGAACATAGTTATCACAATTTTACTACCTGCAGGTGAAGGAAGCTATGGAGAGGATACATTTTGTCTTCTAGTACAATACCTAAAAGCTTTATAATTTTCATGGTAGTAAAGTAGTAAAGTGTCTTCTTACCTTGTCACCCTTGAGAGCAAGGCTGAGCTGCAGTCGGTCAGTGTCCACCAGCAGAGTGCAGTGGTGATATGAAGTGCACCTGCCAAGCTTGGCAGCTGACCCTGACACCTGCACATATTCATCCAACAAATTTGCACTTAATGCAGTAAATTCAAACAAATCCATTTGCAAATGCAATAGAAAAATTTATAATAATGGATGCTGTTCTTGGCAATGATCAACAACAAGGGAACAAAAGTCCTCTAAATTTTTGTAACCAAGTAACATTTGGAATCCAATGCACTAGAAGCTTGTACTAATACTAAATATTAGCTTCTGGCATGTGGTAATACTTGCATTTTACACTACATAACATTGAACAAAAAAAAATGAATACTACCTACAAATAAAATCTATTTAGGAGCATTGGTTGCTACAAATAAATATACTCTTCTCATGATGTTGATTTGGAGAAGGAAATTATAAAAAAAGCAGTCACTTTGGAATTGGTTGTGTATCATAGTGCAACCCTTCTAACTGTTCCCACTCAATAAACTCACTGCAAAAGATCTTTCTTAACTTCACTTTCAATTCACTGACCTTAAATTTCTCAGCCAACATGATGTCATCCCTCGAGTTGACAGTCACTGGCAAGCCAAACTGCGTTTGCAAGATTCTACAAATCAGGTCCAAATTGTAGCGCCGGTTGTAGCTGTGAAAGCAAAAATATTGATGATGAGTTTCTACAAGATTGATCAACAAAATGTTGCATCAAGGTGCATCTAGGAAGAAGCAAAACAGCTGATTAGCTTAAAAATGTTCAAGCAGTAATGTCCAAATAACCATTAAAAACCTGTTAGTAATTTTTAGCAACTTTCAACAAAGTAAAAGTAATAGCAAATTGTACAGCTGATTTTATAATATGAAAATCTTTTGCTCTATAAAAAGTAATAAATGCTCATGAACCTAACAAATGGGTAGGTTTGTGTCAAATTCATATCTATGATATAATATTTAAATGCTATGATGAAGGTCCAAGGACAATAACATACAGATTTATTACCTCTTGCGATCTGTAAAAAATGAGCAGTTGAGGTTGCCAATATCATGATAGACAGTGCCCCCACCACTGTGCCGTCGCACAACAGGAACTTTGGCACTCTCCAGGTAATGCAAGTTAGCTTCCATGAAGGCATTTTGATGTCGGCCAATCACAACACAGGGTGAGTTGCGGTACAGCAGCAGCAATCTTTTATTATCAAATTTCCAGTGATTGTATAGCCAAGCCTCAAGTGCCAGGTTTGAGAAAACATCCGTTGATTGGGAAATGAAGACAACTTTATTAGTGACTCTACTTTCAATATTATTGCTGTTGTTACTACAACTTGTAGTGATAGAGAGTGCATGACTGAGAACTCGTGAATTAGTTCTCAAGTTCTTCAGAGCTGGAAGATTAGGAAACAAGATAGAACTGGCTTTGACAAGAGCCATTATAGTAGAAGTTAGAGATATATTTAATGCAATTTTCAGTCGTTATATTCTTGATAATGCAAATAAATGTATCCTAATAACCAGAACAGAACTTGACTATAGCCTTAAATAGAAATAAAACTCTTCACAACTTCAAGTCAAACCTATCAATTTCATAAAGATTTAGAAAAACAAAAGTTACAACCAAATGCTATGGCAAGATGGTCATGAGTTTCTTGTGTCATGTGGAGCCACTTGGTAGTCTGGTGCAAAGTGGCGCTTAATCCTGGAGTGTGGAACTTTGCTGATGGGGGTAGGCTTAGCAGGGGACACATCGAAGAATTAAACTTCATACAAAATGGATACAAAAGGACTGCAGCGTTTAAGGAAATTTATATCTGAAAATCAATGATACAGTTTTGTTAAAAAAATGGACTATTAAATAATCATAATTAAAATAAAATAATTATAACATTCAATTCAGGTTATTTAACATCATATCCATCATGTCCATTTTTAGATCTGTACTCTGTAGCAGATTAAAATTAAATTTGCTTTTATACACAATTATTTTTGAAAAGTCTCTGACATATATAGTAGTACTGTAGTAGCGTATGTTATATCTCAGGCAGAAACAGACAGATTGTGAAGTGAATGTGTATTGGTAGATGGGGCTAGATTCCATCATGTAACCCAACAGAGTCTGACTGTCAGTGACAGGCTTCATCTTCAAGTTCAAGAATTACTTACAAGTTACATACATCATACATGATAATGAATAATGATACAGATTACAGAAGAGAATGTAGCATGGCCATCATTCAGTAAGAAACTGCCTGCTGATGCCTGATGGCATTTCATGAAAATACATTAATGTGAGATGTTTCAAGTTTTGAAAGACGTCAATAACATATCTACCGGGTTCTACCCTGAGTCTTGAGTGTAGCCTAGTTGCCTGTACTGTACTCTCAATTTCAATGCTGCTAACATTGCATGATTGCACCACTCACCAGCACTTAAGTCAACAGCATTTATTGGAAACAATCTACTATAATAAAAATAATGAACCATAACTTGCCAGCAAGATCAAAAGAGCATTGAAGTGATAGAACCTCAGAAATTGTAGAGTAATAAGGTTGTAAACAACAATCAGCATTTTAAGTTGCAAGACTCTTGCTTGATGAATCATTTCCCATCTAATTGCTAACAGAAGTGTATGAGTATTATTGATCAAGTAAGACCAAGAACGAAGAACTTAAGAAGCAACAAGGTGGTGGCTGGCGACTATATAATGCCTTCTTAATGCGGGCACGGGTGCACGGCTGACAGCTCTATGGCTTTTATTTTTAATTTACAGGGTGGAAGACCAGGAAGGGTGCTGTGCTCATAGTGGCAAAGCAGAGAGTTTTTTAGACTCTCACTCAAGTTCAATTTTGAATCCTCCAAGTAGACCAGTAAAGTATCATGGATACCAGCATTATCATACATAAGAAATTGGTTCAAATATTGAGTAAATGAGGATGTTAAAAATGAACTAATTCTAAAAAATCTCTGGTTTGCCACTATGGCTGTGCTGCTCTCCTCTAGTCTAGCTTAGCATGCTAACCCATGAAGTGCATGGACCACACTCACCACAGTCCACAGAATTAAATAAGAACCCAGAATAAAGTGTGAAGTTGGGCAAAGCTTGCCTCCAGGCTCCAGCTCGACCAGCTGAATGAGCCTAATAGTAGGCTGATTCTGGCATTAGTGGCATGCAACCCAATTAACCGAGTCTGACTGTCACTGAACAGTCAGTTCAGTGAACACTGACCTGAGTGACTCACCTGACAGCGTGACAGGCATCATTTTCAAGTTCAAGAATTAGCTACTTAGCTACAAGTTAGTACATAGCTAGGCCTACATGATAATGATACAGAAAAGAGTAATGTGTTTTAATAGCAAACAGTTACCAAAACACACAAACTTAAAAAAATTGGATAGCAATGCAAGAACGTTGACAACCAAGTAAAAAATGCAAATGCCCTTGAAAATTTAAATTGTTGTTGTTGGCTTCAAGTTCAGTTCAAGTGGCTTGAACTTGAAGGTCAGCCCAGGAAGGAGCCGCACAATGACCACTTATGTCTAATAATGTCTTATTAGTTATTACACCAGGACTCTCACTCTGCACAATTTACTTTGAAAGTGCCAGGCGATTTTTCTGTGGCTTTGTGTTACCTTGAAATTGGATACAGCCTCGCACCTGCAGGGCGTTATAAACTGGTAGGTATCTAGATGATTTATAAACTTGCCAGTTACCAAGCTGCCACTAGCCGGTTTCGCGCCGCGAAACCGGTTTTATTCTGCTGTTTAATTCGTCCTAAACTTCTTTGGTACGCCTCTCTATAGCTGAGGCAATTACCTTTTTTTTAATTCCATGAAGACGAGGAAAATAACGTGCGCTATTATCATGCTAATAGGTAAATTATGGTTAATTTGTATTCACTAGCATGATCAATCGTAAAATGCCTAGCAAAAGGCAATAAGTTCAGCAGCTATCTCAATCAATCGTCAGTGGGTGGATAGACAGTGCGATTTATACACCTTCCCGAGCGTAACGCTGCCGGGCATCTTCACGGCTTATGACACAAAGCGCCCACCACAACAGCGCCGTTCAGTCACAGGCCGCAGCGCATTATACAGGCCTGAGCACAACTGGCCGGAGCGCAACAGGCCCTACCGCAACAGCTAGGTACTCCTAACGTAATTTAACCTAACCTGCGCCGCCTGTTGCGGTAGGGCCTGTTGCGCTCCGGCGCTGTGAAGCAGTGGCTGTGTTGTGCACAGCGGATTAAGTGTTAGCCGGATTTACCCACAGCTCATTGATCTGAGGCTATGTGTAGATATTGCTGCTGATGGTTGGCGATAGGCCCAGGGCCTGTTTACGAGTCAATTTTGTTACCCACGGCTCACGGCTGCGCTCCCTCGTCAGTTATGGAAAGATCGGGTTCCAAAGGCCGGATCCCTTGTGAATCAACTCACAAAAAATTTCAAGCATCGGGAACAGGCCAATGGGCCTATTTCTTTAGTGGCGACACTTCTATTCTATTCTATACGTAAATTTGAGTATATAAGTTTATTTACTGCGATGTCTCCCTCCACACTAAATTTCTATGATTAGGCGATTAGGAATATAAAGTCATCGCTCTTTGAAGTAGTGATAAATACAGTTCAGATTCTGCCTAATTTAAAATATTTCGCGATAGTTAGAATTATGTTTTGGATGAATAATTGCACGGGAAGCCCGTATGAAATATTAATGTTTGACTTCAATCCGCATCTTTGGTTAGGCCGTAAATTATTCTAATTTCATTAGTTACAAATTGTGATAACTTGGGATTTTTTACGTTAAAAGTTTGGGATTTTTTACGTTAAAACTTGTCTAATTACTTAGACAAAACGCGCAATCATTGTACGATAATTATATATGTAGTCGATAAATAAATCCTCAGTAATAAATTCTCGAAAACGAAAAATACATGTGTGACTTGTATTTGTAGATCACGCTTATTTTTTATTGGAACCTTTCAATGAAAAGTGTTATGTCCAAGTATTGCACGGCCAGTTTTATCATTCTTCAATCGCAATGAACAATAATATAATTAATCAAGACTTTCACACCTTATTTACATCCGCAGTTACAAACTATCGTGCAGAATCGAAAATGATTGCCAGTGTAACGGAAAACGTGTGAAGATTACTTCAACATTGGCTGATGGAGTCTGTAGTTGGATCCAGGTAGGAAGGTTATTTTGGAAATATAAGTAAAACAAACAACCTTTGACCGCGCACACGTGCGGGATTATAGCTCTCCTGAAGTTTACCGCTAGAAATTATAAAATGACTAACTCTACAAGTTTTGGTGTACAATACAGTGAAGAATACGTCGCAAAAAGTACAGTTGCAAGGTGATCTTGACAGGCTGGTTGACTGGGCTGATAACTGGCAGCTGCGTTTTAACGCTGACAAATGTAAAGTTATCCACCTTGGCAAGAATAATGAACAGCAAGATTACAGTATGAGAAGACGCGGTTGCAACGACAGAGTGATGATGTCGAAGTCGACAACGGAAAAGGATTTAGGAGTTAATAGCGACAATGAGTTGAAATTTTCTAAGCATATTGAAGGTCAAGTTAATAAAGCCAATAAATAAACGACTTGGACTGATCAGACGCTCTTTCGAGTTCCTAGATGCCGAAACGATGAAGCAGTTGTTTGTTGCTGTCGTGCGCCCGAATCTAAAGTTTGGAAACGTTGTTTGGTCAACGAGATTTGAAAAGGACAAAAATTCAATAGAGAATGTTCAAAGACGTGCAACATGGATAATTCCAGGCTTGAAGGGCAAGTCATACGAAGAAGGATTAAAGATTACGAAGCTTCCAAGCCTCAGTTATCGACGTCTGCGTAGGGACCGCATTGAAGTATACAAGTATACTCATGGTTCATACAAGGTTCCCGAAGGATTACTAGAATTTGAAGCAAGAACCAACCCCAGGGGCCACGGCTATAAACTAAATAAACTGCGCTGCAACTTCTCCACGCGACATTTCTTCTCGCTTCGAATCCCGACATGTGGAATAGCCTCCCTGATTACATCGGTGGCGCTCCTACTCCTAGTATGAACGCGTTCTAGAACATAATAGATACAGTTTTGGAAAAACATATTTTCAGACTTGAAATGCCTAGCACCATATCGAACCCGGTAGAAGTCTATATAGTAGCCATTTCAAACCATCGTCAGTCCTGAAAAGATCCGGTCAAATAACATGATTCTAGATCTTCTGTGCACAAGGCAAAAAAGTAAAGGAATTGGCGACAGGCCACATCAGACCTACACTTCAGCGCCGATTGCACTATGTTATGTTATGTTATAATTGGACATAACGAAAAAGAAAGGATTAAGATATCCTCACCGATTTCATTCACATGGGCACGAATTGTTCTCGAGATAGGTAGGTTAGCAGTAAAGAGTAATTCAAATCTCTATTTTAGGATATTAAATTACTTGGGCAGCATGAATTTCAGGAATTTTTTCCGAGACTATGTTCGACAGAATTATCCTTTCCTCATGAAAGTTTGCTGGCGAAGTATTGTGCTCTTATTGTATTATATTCGCTTACTCGTCATTGGTACAAACTATTTTTTAACGCAGTAGAATCCACCGCGTTAAGCGGTTCCCATTAACAACACTCGCTGCCGGGCAAGTAAAAGTGATTTATCATACAATCTGGTAGCACGACTTCGTATTGAATTAAATTGATCTGAAATGTTCAAGAGTTTTAGGCCGTCTAACCAACAGATCGGTCAGAAGTTCTCTCTTTCCGTCTACCGTGAGGTCGTTCATTTGCTGACTGGAAATCGCCCATCTTCCAAGATGAACTTCGGTGAACGATGTACGAAAA